TAATTCACTTAGGATAATGACCAGTTACAATCTTGTTGCTGCAAAGAACATGATCTCGTTGTTTTTCATGGCTGCATAGTATTCTACAATGTATATATACCACATTTTCTTTATCTAGTCTGCTGTTGATGGGCATTTAGGTTGATTTCATGTCTTTGCTATTATGAACAGTGTTGCAATGAACATATGCAACATACGTAAATATGTCTTTATAGTAGAATAATTTATGTTCCTTTAGTTTATACTCAGTAATGAGATTGTAGGGTCAAATGGTAATTCTGTTTTAAGTACTTTGGGAAATCACCAAATCATTTTCTACAATGGCTGAACTAATGTACACACCCCCCAGCAGTATATAAGCATTCCTTTTCTCTGTAACTTTGCCAGCATCTGCTCTCTTTTGACTTTTAAACAATAACTTGCTGCCCCTTTTGCCTGGACCTTGGAATGAACATCCTTGGAGCAGATCTGAGCCCAGCCCTCTGAGAGAAGCCAAACCCAACCAAGTCCAGCTTACATCAGCTGAACTCCTGCCAACCTGCAGAGGCGTGCAAGAGAAACAGATGCATATTGTGGTATGTCCCTGAGGATCTGTGATTTTTTGTCACCCAGCAACAGCTGACTTATACTGCCACACACTATCATCTGATCCCATTGTGTTTGTGTTCACTCCCAGTTCCCTGGGTTCCAGCTCCAGACTCTTGACTCTGACTTCACTAAGGGTCTCGTGCCTCCCCACCCAGCTAGGACCTTGGCTGACCTCTCCACCCTGTTTCTGGGGAGGCCTCCTCATGTCAGGCTGCAGCAGTGGCGCAGAGGGGTGAGGTGGACATCTGGGAAATTCTAGCATTTCCCTTGTTGTATTGTGTTAAATTAATTACATGCCTGTGAACCTTCTAGGACAGCACTGTCCAACAGAAACAGAATGTGAGCCAGGTATATAATCTAAAATTTTTCAGCAGCCACATTAAAAAGTTAAAAAGAAGCCATGAGCAGTGGTTCACACCTGTAGTCCAGCACTTTGTAGCATGTAGTTGCAGGGCAGGGAATCACTTGAAGCCAAGAGTTCAAGACCAGTCTGGACAATAAAGTGAGATCCTGTCTCTACAAAATATTAGAAAATTAGCTGGGCATGATGGTGCACACCTGTAGTCTCAGCTACTCAAGAGGCTGAGGTGGGAATATCGCTTGAGCCCAGGAACTGGAGGCTGCAGTGAGCTATGATCGTGTCACTGCACTCCAGCCTGGGTGACAGAGCGAGACCCTATCTCAAAAATAAATAAATAATTAATTAGTTAAGAAATAATGGTATTTTTTTAAGTAAAAAGAAAGTGAAATTAGTTCTAATAATACAGTAAATTTAGCCCAATATACCCCAAATATTATTTCAACATGTAACCAACATTATTTAAATTATATTATATGTTTCTAATATATAATACATATATATTATTTGACAGCTATTTTACATTCCTTTTCATGCTCAGCCTTTGAAGTCCAGCGTGTATTTAACAGGCACAGCACGCCTCCCTTCAGACCTGCCACATCTCAAGTACTTAACAGCCACATGTGGCTTACGGCTACCACACTGGACAGGGCGGCTCTGAATGATAGAAGGCAGAACTCCATGTCACCATGTGTAGCGTGGTGCCTGGCACACAGGGGGAACTCAGTAAATAATTCCTGAATGAATGAATGATAAACACATAGGCATTGCTTTAAAGCTGAGAACAGGTGGGCAGACCTGTTACTCATGGCATAAAAAAAAAAACCCTACAGCTTAGACAAATCAAATTTGCATCATAACGGATGGTGGTGTTTTGGAAAGCCATGTTGGCTGGTGCTGTGTCTGAGGCCAAAGGGGACTTGCTTGAAGGGGTCATATGCGATGAAAATATAATCTCAGGCAGCATTTCCCAAACTTGTCTGACCATGGCATGTTGTTTAAATTGCTCTGCTTTTGTCAGGATGCCAATAGAGGCTCATGTGATACTGTTTAAATTAAAGTAGACAGCAAAAAAAAAAATAATAATAATAGTCTCAGAGTTGAATTAATTGCTGTAAGAAATGATCAAAATTTGATTCATACGCTTAATATAAAGTAAACATTGAATAATTGCACCGATAAGTATTAAAATCATGAGTAAAATGCATAACAAAGACTGGCAATTGTCAAATAGAAATGCACACAGGTTGGCAGTGCAGAGGGAAAATATACAGCCTGCTGCTGGACCTCACGCTTCCTGCCTGAGGTGATTTGTCATGGGACTTGCGCTTGTTTTCAGGTGCAGGAGACTCTTTCCCAAAGGAAGATCAGCACTTAAAAATCAAAACTACCACCAGCCTGGCCAACAAGGTGAAACCACATCTCTACTAAAAACACAAAAATTAACTGAGCATGGTGGCACACACCTGCGATCCCAGCTACTCTGGAGGATGAGACAGGAGAATCGCTTGAACCTGGGAGGCGGAGGTTGCAGTGAGTCGAGTTCACACTACTACACTCCAACCTGGGCGACAGAATAAAACTCTGTCTCAGAAAATAATAATAAAATAAAATAAAACTAATAAAAACTACCACTAGTCAAAGACGCATGACCTGTCAGGTAGTGTTCTAACTCTTCGAGGTTGATACCGCAATCAGAGTCATTTTATGTATGAAGAAACTGAGTCACAGAGAGGTCAAGTAATTTCCAGGTCAGGTTGTACCAGGGATTCTGGCTCCAGATCCAGTGCTCCTAATTTTTATGCCACACAGTCTCTTTTGTTTAATAATTAGAATCACTCTGCCCAGCTAATTTTTGTATTTTTTCAGTAGAGACGGGGTTTCACCATGTTGACCAGGATGGTCTCCATCTCTTGACCTCGTGATCCACCCACCTCGGCCTCCCAAAGTGCTGGGATTATAGGTGTGATTATGCAGCCATCAAAAACAATGAGTTCGTGTCCTTTGTAGGGACATGGATGAACCTGGAAACCATCATTCTCAGCAAACTGACACAAGAGCAGAAAATCAAACACCGCATGTTCTCACTCATAGGCAGGTGTTGAACAATGAGAACACATGGATACAGGGAGGGGAGCATCACACACTGGGGTCTGTCAGGGGAAACAGGGGAGGGACAGCAGGGGGTGGGGAGTTGGGGAGAGATAGCAAGGGGAGAAATGCCAGATATAGGTGATGGGGAGGAAGGTAGCAAATCACACTGCCATGTGTGTACCTATGCAACAATCTTGCATGTTCTTCACATGTACCCCAAAACCTAAAATGCAAAAGAATAAAATAAATTAGAACCACTCTATAAATTTTTTGCATTTTTCTAATGTATACTTTTTTTTGTTTTTGAGATGAAGTCTCACTATTGCCCAGGCTGGAGTGCAGTGGCACAATTTCGACTCATTGCAACCTCCTCCTCCTGGGTTCAAGCGATTCTCCTACCTCAGCCTCCCGAGTAGCTGGGACTACAGGCGTGCGCCACCGCCCCAGGCTAATTTTTGTGTGTGTGTATTTTTTCTTGGAAATGGGATTTCACCATATTGGCCAGGCTGGTCTTGAACTCCTGACCTCGTGATCTGCCCGCCTTGGCCACCCAAAGTGCTGGGATTACAAGCGTGAGCCACCACGCCCGGCCCCTAATGCACACTTTAAAATGAATTTAAGATGAACAACGCCATCAGCTGTGAGAGCTCCTGTCCTTTGGAATACTCATGAACATCTCATGGAACCTGTGCGCCATGGAACGGAGTTTCGGAAATGGTGCTGGAGAGATACATGCAAACTCTATTTAATATTGCCAGAAGCTATTTCAAACCATTTATTGACTTCATCACTCCACTTTCTCGTCACCCCTCTTTCCTGAAGAACATCTTACAATAAAAACAGAGTAACGGCAGATGAAGCAGGGAGGTGTAACATTACAGGTAATGCTATAGAAATTAAGCCCGAAATCTTGCTCTGAGCTTCCCAACAGCTGAAGTGTGGAGAAAAGGCCGCCTGGCTCCAGAGTTCTTCCTGCCTTAGAGGTAGGACCAGCCCGTATGGCAGGAGAACCAATTCTTCTTGGCCCAGTGCCCTGGAATGCATTTGTCATAGAGACATTTGCATAAGTGGCATTGAGCAGTGTAATGAATTATAACCCCAACAGTCATTTTACCAAAAAAAAAAAAAAAAAATGCAGTGATGTTTCTTGGGTGACTCTTATCACCGTGGAACCTTTGCTAAGGGTAAAATATTAAAGTGTTGCTCCACACAGGCAATTCTAGAGGAAAATCCAGTAGCTCCAGCGCCTTAATTCTAGACCAAAAAGGAAGCGAAAGTAATTCTGGAATTTCACCTTAAGCTGCTTTCACATCTATTCACCCATCTTTATGCCTGCAGCCTTCTTCGGCATTGTCTCCTAACACCCAGCTCTCAGCATATCCTGTTTTGCTCAACAGATCGCAACTATTCTGCAAGAATGTGGAAGTGACTCCCTGGTCTGTTTACGTCTTTCCATGCACCAGCCCATGATAGGTGTTCACTGGGTGTTTATCGCTGAATGAAGGAATCGTTCAAAACTTAAAAATATGGGCCAGGCACAATGGCTCATGCCTGTAATCCCAGCACTTTGGGAGACTAAGGCGGGCGGGTCACCTGAGGTCAGGGGTTCGAGACCAACCTGATCAACATGGAGAAACCCAGTCTCTACTAAAAATACAAAAAATTAGCCAGGCATGGTGGCGCATGCCTGTAATCTCAACTACTTGGGAGGCTGAGGCAGGAGAATTGCTTGAACCTGGGAAGCGGAGGTTGCGGTGAGCTAAGGTTGTGCCATTGCCCATTGCCCTCCAGCCTGGGCAATAGAGCAAAACTCAGGCTAAAAAAAAAAAAAAAAACCTTAAAAATAATAATAAAAAAGGTCTTGTGTCACTCCTGCCAACTTGCTGGTCCCCTCTGGCCTGGCCCCCACTGTTAAAATCATACTCAGATACCGACTTCTCCATGAAATTTCCCTCCTTGCCTCCAGTGGAAATTTGCACCATCTTCTCCATTCTCCCCAGCATCCAGCACAGATGGATGCTTACCTGGGGCAGCAGGAAACAGTGGCTTTCAACGTCAGGAAGCCTGGCTTTGAGGGGCTCGAGTAAGTCACTTAAGCAAGTCTGAGCCTCAGTTTTCTCATCTATAAAATGACCAGGTGAGAATGAGGAGCAAAGGGGAGAGATCTCTGTAAGTTACAAAGAGCTATGTTTTTTTGCCTTTTTTTTTTTTTTTGTCGGAGTTTCGCTCTTGTTACCCAGGCTGGAGTGCAATGGCGCAATCTCGGCTCACCGCAACCTCCGCCTCCTGGGTTCAGGCAATTCTCCTGCCTCAGCCTCCTGAGTAGCTGGGATTACAGGCACGCGCCACCATGCCCAGCTAATTTTTTGTATTTTTTTAGTAGAGACGGGGTTTCACCATTTTGACCAGGATGGTCTCAATCTCTTGACCTCGTGATCCACCCACCTCGGCTTTCCAAAGTGCTGGGATTACAGGCGTGAGCCACCGCGCCTGGCCAAGAGCTATGTTAACATGCGTCCACCCAGCAGTGCCCCTCCAGCCTGCAGGTGACCTTACAGCAAGGTGCTCATCAACCTCACCTCTCCATCACCAAAATGTCTCGCAGGGGCCTGGCTCACAGGACTGAACAAACGCCAGCAGATTTAAACGTGAGGGGTACGATACATGCACTTTATGGCTGGCACGCTAGGTCTCCAACCCAAATATTCTGGGCAATATTCATAAATATCTAGAATTAACTCCCAACACTTCACATGTCTTTGATTTCGTGGTTCTAAGAATAGAAATAACCTTTCAATTTTAAATAGAAATTGCGGAGCTGAAGACAAGTGACGAAAGTCTTCCAAGACATCCAGGCACAACTGCAGAGTTCAGGCAGGGCACGGAGCACCGAGGGGGAGGTCTGTTTGACAAATCTTTGAGTGAAGCCAGAGTTCCGGAGAGTGAGGTCTGAGACGGGCTCCGCTGGAGGCAGGCACAGCCTGGGCAGAGAAGATGATTAGCAATACATGGAGAACACCTCAGGGGACCCTCCTACAGACAGTCTGTCACCCAGTGTTTTTACCATTCCATTTCAAAGTTTAATTAGATAATCACTTTCCAATGCCTAGATGCAATTAACCCCTTTGGAGCAGCCCTCGTTCACAGTCAACTTTCACAGGCCACAGAAGCTGAAATGCCCATGACAAGCCTGAGCGTCGCAGATTTCAGGAAAACATCTCTCAAGGAGAAAAATAACCAACAAATATTTGTGGGTTTGGAGGAGAGGACTTCTTTCTTAAATGCCAGAAGGAAACCATTTCTCATCCAAGAGTTCAGCGTGAACCATCAGTGCCTCCTTCCTCGTGCAAGCCCATGGGCAGAACCATCTTCAGGCACAGCCAGGCTTAACTCGCCCGATGAGGAAGAGAAGGGGACTAGCAGCCCGTCCTTCAAGGCCACTGCCTGGCCAGCTGCACACGCAACCCCCTCTCCAGTCCTTGAAGCTTGCCCGCGTTTGTCCCATTTCATTTAACACCATGGGCGAATGTAGACTCCCTGTGGCCCTCTTTTGCCCGTGTGATTCACAAACCCAAGACGGCAAAAGCCCAAACTGAATTCACAATGTCCCTGGACTTTCTTCCCTTTTTTTCTTTTTTGAGACAGAGCCTCACTGTGCTGCCCAGGCTGGTCTCAATCCTCCTACCTCCACCTCCTGTGTGGGACTACAGGTGCATGCCACCATGCTCAGCTTCCCTGGACTTTCAAAAGCAATTTATTTATTTGCGTGGTCTTTTAAAGCACTCCTACATTTCACATGACCTTTCCTATATCCCCATGAGGTGGACAGGAAAGGGACTGTTATACCCATGTGACACACAAAGACACTGACTCAGAGAGGGGCCAGATTCAGTGTCACAGCCGGTAAGAGGCAGAGCGAGATTCTGACTTAGGGCCCCAGATGTAGGCTCTAGTCGCACAGTGTTTCCTCCACGCTGTCTTTATTTATTCTACACCTACTTATTGATTGCCCACTATGTGCGAGGCCCTGGGGGTTCAGCACCTCGCAGGACACAGGAGCTACCTATTCTCAAGAGATTATAAAACTACTGGAGGAAGCAGACACAAAACCACAGCATGAGAGTCCAGTGCCCTGGAAGCCACAGGATCTCAGCCCATGAGCCCAACCTGACACTGGGAAGCCAGGTGAGCAATAGCAGAGCCAGGACTGGGGTGAGGAGCGAGGCTGGAAGAGACAGTGTGCGGGCCTCCTGGCCCTGTGACTCATGGGTACACAGGAAAATATTTAATGACTGGCTCTGTGTGGGAAACAGACCTGATTTGTAGAGTCTGCCCATTCCCATAGTGTAAATGCTTCCATAGCAGCTGATATCAAGCTACCAATGTGAAGTCACTGCAGGTTGGGAAGAGATGTACACATATGCTCCTGCAAGCCGGGGCAGGCTGCTGCCAGCCAGTGGAGGCCAGCTCCAGCATGCCACTGAAGTGACATGTAGAACACGGCCTGCAGGGCTCATAACAGGGTAGACACAAAAGGTGGATCTGAGCTTGAGTGAGACCAGAGGCAGAACCAAGGACAGGTTTTTACAGAGCTGTGCTGGCCAGTACTGTGCTCGTTAACCATATGTGGCTATTTAGTTTAGATTAAAATTAATCATAATTAGCCGGGCGCGGTGGCTCACGCCTGTAATCCCAGCTACTCAGGAGGCTGAGGCAGGAGAATTGCCTGAACCCAGGAGGCGGAGGTTGCGGTGAGCCGAGATTGCACCATTGCACTCCAGCCTGGGTAACAAGAGCAAAACTCTGTCTCAAAAAAAAAAAAAATTAATCATAATTAAAATTCAGCTGTTTGGTTGCACTAGACACACTTCAGGTGCTCAGTGGTTACACGTGGCTGTGGCAACCATATTGGACAGCACAGATTTTAGAACAATGCCATCCTCATTGAATGCTCTATTAGATAGCACGTAGGGAAGGGGGGAGGGGGATGAATTTCTAGCAAGAGAAGAGAAGCTGTGGCATGGAAGATGAGGGGGCAACTAAAATAAACTGCCTCAGTCTCCCAATTTTACCAAGGATCAGCTTCAAATGAAGGATGGATAGAATGAATGAAAGAAAGTTAAGTTATTGAGCTCCTTGACTGTAGTAAGCCTTTTTTTTTTTTTTGGTCAGGGTCTCACTCTGTCACCCAGGCTGGAGTGCAGTGGCATAATCTTGGCTCACTGCAGCCTCAACCTCCTCGGCTCAAGCCATCCTCCCAACTCTGCCTCCCAAAGTGTTGGGACTACAAGCATGAGCCACTGCACCTGGCCCTGTAGTGAGACTCTTGCTGGGTGATCTGCTCCCTGCCTGTGAGGAATTTACATCCCTGGTACACAGCAGGGATGTAATACATGTGTCAAGCATTTTGGACCATCTCGGGGACAGTGTCCCATGGAGCATGCTTTGGGACCCACCTGTCCAAACACAGCCCTACTATGAGCAGGTGACGCTCAGGTGCCGGCCCACAGACCATCCGGCTTGGGTTAACACACTCATCGGGAAATAGCTTTCTCTCCAACAAGAAGGTACTCTGTATCTTTCTTGTTTCACCATCATAAAGGAGCATGGTGATGATCACAGATACACAGTGCTCGGGTCAGCTGCTGAGGACACCCACCCCATGTTTAACAGCTAAGGCAGCAGCAAGACCTCGGTGGAGCCCAGCACTGCCCCCCCGTTGTGCAGTGGACTAGCTCCATTTGTCTTCAGTATCCATGCTCTGTCCCTCCCGCCGACACTCTCACCTCTTGATCACTTCTATTTCACAGCCCCTGTTCATCCGAGAACGTGGGTTCCTTCCCAGCAGTCCTCCTTACCTCTCAGAGCCTGTGCCACTTTCACAACCACTT